CATGAGGCGTATGCCTCATGCACATCTGATATAAAAAGACAGAAAAAAAAGGAAATGAAAGGAAAAGAAAAGAAAAGAAAGGGAAAGGAAGGAAAAAGAAAGAGGGAGGCTTACGCCTCTTGCGTTCTGAACTACGCCTTACGCCTCTAGGTAGTGTGAACGCCTCCGTGTTTTAAAACATTGGCTGGAAGCTTCATCCTCACCTTGCACCGAATAGACTCAAAAACAAGAAGGAAAATGTTAACATGGCAGTCACTGGTGACTTACCTAGCCCTCCTACTACAGCTACTTTGGAGTCTGTTGCAGCTGTTGCGGTAAGGGCCGAACTTGAGAGATATGGGCAATTACTAAATCAGCAAGATACAGTCAGCCCTAATCCGTTATCAAGTGGACAGCTAGGTATAGGTGGTTCTGGTGGTGGACATTCTACTTTCTTTGCTCATACAGGAGGTAGTCCACATGCCACTGCAAACTATGTTTCTACTACAGGTAAGGAGGGACCTCCTTGGATTATAGATTCTGGAGCCTCAGAGCATATGACCCACAGTTCCACTATTTTCTCTTCTTACCAACTCTGCTCTGGCAGAGACTGAGTTTCCACAGCCGATGGATCCCACGTTCCCATTGCTGGGAAAGGGTCTGTCAAGATTACTGATTTCATTTCCCTACCCTCTGTCCTTCATGTACCCAGATTGAGTACTAACTTATTATTTGTTAGTAGTCTAACTAAGAACTTGAATTGCTCAGTGATTTTTTCTCCTAGCCATTGTGTTTTGCAGGATCTGGTTTCAAAGAGGATGATTGGGAGGGGTCGTAAGGTGAATGGAATCTACCTTCTGGATGCGCTTCCTCATCATCAAAGTCATCATGTTAGCAGGGATTTTGAGTCAAAGTCTGTGGGTCAGATTATGCTTTGGCATAATCGTTTGAGACATTTGTCTTTTCCTTCTTTGCATTTCTTGTTTCCAAAGTTATTTAAGTCTGCTAACTTGTCTAGCTTAGAGTGTGAAAGTTGTCAGCTTGGAAAACATTGTAGACATTCATTTAAATCTAGTAATTAAAGGTGTTCATCTGCTTTTGATGTTATTCATACTGATGTGTGAGGACCATACCATGTTCCTTCTATGAGTGGCTAACGATATTTTCTTTTATTTGTGGATGATTTTTCTCGGTATTCTTGGATTTACTTGATGAGATCCCGTGATGAAGTACCGTCCTTGGTTCACAGTTTGATTAGATGGTGCTAACACAGTTTGGGTAGGAGTGAAGGTGTTCAAATCAGACAATGCCAAGGAATATTTTGAGAAGAACCTTGCTTCATATCTATTAGAGTATGGAGTAATTCATCAGAGCAGTTATTCTTACAGTCCACAGCAAAATGGTGTAACAGAAAGGAATAACAGACACATTGTTGAGATTGCAAGGAGCATGATGATCACATCTACTGTTCCAATTCATTTTTGGGGTGACACAGTTCTCACAGCAATCTTTCTAATGATCACATCTACCGTGCCTCCTTTTTCCTGACGGGGAGATGTCCACATCTCTCTCAGGGTTTTTGGTTGTGTTTGCTTTGCTCATGTTCTTGGTCCTCACTGCTCGAAGCTTGATCCGAAGGCAAAGAAGTGTGTTTTCCTTGGGTATGCAGAAAATCAGAAAGGATACCGTTGCTATGATCCAATCTTTGGGAGTTGGTCTAGAAGGATTCTTCTAGAAGGATTCTTCTAGAAGGACTCACCTTTTTTGAGTCCACACCTTTCTTCTAGAAGGATTCTTCTCAGGGGGAGTGTTTTGGGGAAGGAAGTGAGCGGTCTATTCCTCTTCCGGTTCCAATCCCTAAGTCCACTCCTGTGTCTGACTCTCTTGTGTCTAATCCTCCTATATCACCTACTTTACCACCTCCCTTGTGTCCTGTTTCTCACGACAGCGCTTTCGACTTCACAGGGAGGTTGATTCCACAACAGAAGGACCCACATCACTTCCTATCGGTTCCTTGGAGACTCCAGATTCGGCTGACACGGACTCGGGTATTCCTCTTGATCCCTCTGATGTTTCAATTCCTATTGAAACCACTAACCCCATTATAAATGACCTGGACCTTCCTATTGCACTCAGAAAAGGGAAGAGAAAGTGTATTGCCCATTGTATCTCATAGTATCTCTCCTACAGTGGACTTTCTCCTTCTTATCGTGCCTTCCTTTCTTCCCTCGACTCTGTGTCTATACCCAAGGGTGTCAGTGAGGCTCTCTTCAAACCCGAGTGGAAGACAGCTATGCAGGAAGAAATTGCAGCTTTAATTAAGAATCAGACGTGGGAGATTGTAGATCTACCAGAGAGCAAGGAGATTGTTGGATGCAGATGGGTTTATACAGTTAAATACAAGGCAGATGGAAGCATAGAAAGGTATAAGGCTAGACTGGTTGCAAAAGGGTACACTCAAACCTATGGCATTGATTACTTACAGACTTTTGCACCAGTTGCAAAAATGACTTCTGTCCGGATCCTTCTCTCTTGCTGTTACATGCTCTTGGCCTCTTTTCCAACTAAATGTAAAAAATGCCTTTCTTTATGGAAATCTACAAGAAGAAGTGTATATGGATCTTCCTGTTGGTTTCTAAGTGATGCTGAAAAGGGGAAGGAATGCAGATTGAAGAAGTCTCTTTATGGTTTAAAACAATCTCCCAGAGCATTGTTTGACAGGTTCAAGAAGGCCTTGATTGCTTTTGGTTATACTCAGACTCAATCAGGCCATACTTTGTTTGTGAAGCGAAGGGGGTCCCTGGTGTCGGTTTTGATAGTTTATGTGGATGACATTGTAGTTACAGGAAATGACCTGAGTGAGATTGACAGTTTGAAGAAGAAACTGCACAAAGAATTTGAAATTAAGGATCTTGGGAAGTTGAGGTATTTCTTGGGCATTGAAGTTGCAAGATCAAAGCATGGAATTTTTATTTCTTAGAGGAAGTATGTTCTAGACCTTTTACAAGAAACAGGGAAACTTGGAATAAAGGCAGTCAGTACTCCTATTGATCAAAATCACAGAATTAATGCATTAGAAGGTGAGCTAATGAAAGACAATGGGAGATATCAGGACTTGTGGGGCGGCTACTATATTTATGTATGACAAGACCAGACATCTCTTATGCAGTAAGTGTGGTGAGTCAATACATGCATGCCCCACGAGTCCAGCATTGGGAGGTTGTTGATAGAATTCTTGCTTATCTGAAGGGACACCCAGGCAGAGGCATACTATTTGCTGACCATGGACAGTTAAAGCTAGAGGCTTACATAGATGCTGATTGGGCAGGATGCCTTGATGACAGGAGATCTACATTAGGAGTTTGCACTCTTGTTGGGGGCAATCTAGTTTCGTAGAAAAGTAAGAAACAAACAGTTGTGGCAAGGTCAAGTGCACAAGTTGAATACAGGGCCATGGCAAATGGAGTTTCAGAGCTTCTCTGGATCCGTTCCTTGTTAGGAGAAATTGGTATTGAGGCAGAAGAACCTATGATGTTGTACTGTGATAATCAGGCAACAATTAACATTGCCCACAACCCAGTTTAGCATGACAAGACAAAGCACATTGAAATGGACAAACATTTCATAAGAGAAAGGGTGACTTCAGAGGAAGTTTGTCTCCTACATTGCTTTTGATTTGCAGCTTGTTGATGTTCTTACAAAAGGTGTTGCAAGAAACAAGGTGGAGCATGATCTACGCAAGTTGGGAATGTGTGACATTTATTCCCAACTTGAGGGGGAGTGTTGAGTTTGGGCAGATTTTAAGTTATTGGGCCCAGCTTTGATTTATTTTATTTAAGTTATTAAGTTAGGAAGTTATTGGGCCTTAGGCCGATTAGTTTATGTTATTTTAAGTTGTGACTATTCAGCTACTTAGAGTAGCCGCCCTACTAAGGGTATTTTTGTAATGTTTCATTCTTTTATTTTAAGTATATAAATCAAGAGGGGTTGGCAGCCAGATCTATTCAATTCTGGCAACATCACACTCTCTTTTCTTCTTCTCTCTCTTTCTCTCTTGCTGAAACCTTTCAGTTTCTACTACTTTTCTTCACAAAGCATACATCAGAATTAGTTATCAGCAATTTCTACTAACCATTTCCAGAGGAAGCAAGAACTGCCTCCATGATTTTAGCATCTAATTGCCAAAAGAAGAAAAGTGATGGAAGTAAATCTTTTAGTTTCAATGAACAGGAAAATGAAGGTAATAACAATAAAAGGATAGTGATGAGAACAAAACAAGGAAAAAAATGTTGAAGTAGGAGGGAAGATGGAGCAGGGTGAAGGAAAGCTTGAGTGATAACAGAAAGGAAAGGAAAGAAATATAAGAGCAAAGTGGCAGATCATTGACAACAGACCCTTAGGCTATGTTTGGTTTGAAGGAAAAAGTAGGGAAAGGAAAGGAAAGGCAAGGAAACCTTTACCAACCTTCTATAGGTTTGATATCTTTCCCTTCCTTTCCCTACCTTTTCCTTGAAACCAAACATAGCCTTAACTTCAACAGAATTAGGAGAAGATTTAGATGGTCATAATCAGAAACGGTTGGGATCTGCCTTCTTAGTTGTCTTTCACTTCCACTTACCAAAACATAGCACATAAATACAGGTATGAATGTCTTATCCACTATATCTTATGAATAACAAAACAGATTTATTATTGAAGCTGAAAAGAGTACAAGATATCAGTCATACCCAGAGATTGAGATGACCATGAACCAAAAAGGAAAAAAAATATATACAGAAGGAACAAATGGAAACCAAATTTCAGATTTTCTAAAACCAAACCATCAAAATTTAGTTTTCTAAGATCCTTTCCAGTACTTGTAATTTATTCTCCTAAATTCTAATAAACAAAATATTTATGAAGTTTCTTATAATAAATACCAAATCTGTTAAAATGTATCAAGCTACCAGGATATAATAGCTCTCAGGGCACCTATGCCTAGCCCAGAGACTAGAATAAGAAGTGAACATGGTGATGCAAACCTCAAGAAAGGATGCTGCAGCTGGATCATTTGGTGAAAATGAAATGGTCACACGCTTTGCATTTGTAAACTCAATATTGGACTCAATCTGCAAAAATCAAAGGAGCCACTCTTAAGGAGAATCATAAATTAATAAAATAAATTAGACAAGCCACTCAGAACACATAAAAAACCCGAAAATTCCAGCTGGCTCATCTAGTAAAGTCAGTGGCTGTAGACCCACTGGCCAGGGATCAAGTCCCACCTTTACTCCCCAAGTTTGCATAATAAAAAGAAAACATAAAGATACCTGACGAATGAGCTGTCTCATTTCCCGGCGAAACCTCTCAGCTTTGGTAGTCTTACAAAAGCTTCGTAACCGGACAGTTGGAATAAATGCCAACTCAAAGAAAGCAACAGAATAGCTCCATTGAGCCAAATGTTCAGCAATCTCTTCAACCACAGAGAAAACACATGCCTCCTGAAATGCACGTGTCTTTAATGTTGGCTTGCTTACCTGCAACAAATTTTCCCCATATTCAATTAGCCTAGTTTACATGCTATGATGGCTTACAGCACAAGCCCACACAAAATATACCTTCAACAAGGTACGCAAATCTACAGCTTTGCCAACACCCCCTGTTGGTGGTCTATTCAGTTCTTTCATTTCCAGCATATCCAAAAGCAGCATGGAAACAGGGATAAAAGTACCCATAGAAGCTGCAATTCGATTAAGCATTCTAACGCACTTCAACCTCAGAGGGAAATAACGTGCACTTGGAAGCAAACGAGCCACCCCAGAAATTATTTGTGTCAGTGGGTATGCAAGTGGACGAAAGTCTGCCTCAGAACTGTAGGCACAAACAGCCCCAGTCCAGAGCTCAAGGCAATTCATGAACTTCCATTCATAAACTTTCAAAACTGATTCCTACAATACACAAACATGAAACTAGGAAATCATAATTGCCATTATACACAAAACACATGCACAAACGCAGAAGTGGAAAGCAAATAAAAGTTCATCCATTGGAATACGGGAACTTATTATAGATCCTAACTTCTAAAATATAGAGTGCTATTTTGATGAAATAAAATCAGGCAAATTTTGATATCTAATTACCTACTGTGCCATTACTTCAGGAGTAGAAGCTCAATAGATAAGAAAAGTTAAATCTGAAATAAAGGATAAATTGACAATAACAAAGAAAAACTACAAAGGGATGTGAGACATAATTAATTGAAGAGATGAAAGAAAAACAGCATTGATTTCATGAGAATGTGATAAACCGTAACTACATTATAGCTAGTCTCAGTTATCCAGGGTCTTGGGAGGGTGGATTGGATAAGGACCTATCTCTGGCATTTTTACCAAAAAGTGGTCATACTCAGACACAAACTTGCGTTCTCAAGTTTACCAGTCTTATTTTTACCATTGCTCCAAGCAATGGCTTCTCTCAAGATGATAAACCTAGTAATAAAAACAGTAAACCACAAAGGACTAAACTGCATCAGCATAGGAGAGCAACCTAGTTATGGGAAATTACCTTCTTCTTAATCGTATATGCCTCTCGTAAAATCATTGCCAACTGCCGAATGAAAACAAAGGCATGCTGATACGCAGTTTGTAGGTCCACCCCGTAAAGTTCAATGACACAATTCCCAAGAAACTGAATATGCTGCAATGTCGTTGCATTTACAAACCGGCAATTTAAAACATAGGCCTTGTATATTCCTTTGAAGTATTCATCTAAGCAATCTGCACCCAACCGAATGCATAAATCTCTTATAAATAGAAAGGAAACAACAGGAAGGGCCCCTCCACCTGTACCCCAGAAGTGAAGAGTAACCTGCAAAAATAAAGTCCTAAGCCATTTAAAAGCAACTACTTGAAAAAGAAAAGGAAAAAAGAATCCAATTTAAGGCCTGTCTTGCAATTTGAGCTATTAACTTAAGCATTAATTTTACTGTTCATCAAAAAAAAGCAACATTTTGAGACATTTGGGAGGGTTAATGACCCAATGCATCCTGACAACATCTGTCCTGTAAAATGGTGCACATGTTAATTGATCAGGAATGACAACCAATGGCTACAGTGAGGAGTTGTCTGGGGCTTGATAAATCCTGGGCCTTCAAGCATAGAAAATGTCATTAGATACTGTAATGGCTGCATCAAAACCATATTCTCATGCCCAAAAGGCATTGGAAACTTCACAGGAGCAGAATTCCTAGCAATCCAACCACAAGGAATAAGATTGAGTAGGCTACTAAACATCACAAGCTTAACCGCGGAAGGAGATCCAAAGGTTGTAGTGGGATGGATGAAAAATAACATGGGAATGTGGCACTACAGAAACACATTGAAGGAGATCAGAGCAATTGAAGGTGGATAAAGACTGGTTATGTAAAAAGGGTCTGTACGGTCACCCTTTGGGAATATCTACTACTACTATAACAACATACTGTCTTTTTCTTCTTTTCCTATAACAAAAATAAGAGTTCAGCCCCTATATTTTTTGAATTTTCTTTTCCTTCTTTTTTTTCTTCTCATGAATATGTTGACTTTCTATACTTTAACATGTACTCTATACTTTTCTTATGAAAATTATGAAAAATTATTAAGGAAATATGGCTATGGTACAATAAGGGGTGATCAGATTTGAGTGTGAAGTCTGATTTGAGTGTGAAGTGCAGGAAATCTTTTTCTAGTAAGGAAATAGTAAGGTCAAAAGAGGAGGAGATGGAGGAGGAGAAGAACTTCGTGGAGGCAAGTCGATGGAGAAAGTATCTCAAGGTGGAGGCGAAGAACTTTCTGTTGGAAGAACTAAGAATCAGAGGGCAGTTTAGCTTGAAAATCAGGGAAGCTAAGCTGGCCACGGAGATGTTGGTAGGACTGAATGTGGTAGAGTGGCTCACAGATTTTGTAGCTGCAGCGAGTACAAAAGGAAAGGATAGGTGCTGGAAAGAATTCCTAACAGAGATGGGAAAGAGGTATGTGGTGGAATGCAGGAAAAAATAAAAAAATAAAAAAAAAAAATCTTCATAACTCTCTCAGAGCATTTTAATAGTACCAGGAAGCAAATGTTCTGATTCCCGGAAGGAAGAAAGAGCCAAGGGTGGACTGAAATAATCAAGGCTCTAAGAGAATTTATGTCTAGAATGAAAATGAAAAAGGAAAAAGGAAAAAGGCTTGGAAAAGAAGACAAGAGAGGATCTCTCGAAGACAGAAGTGGACCTGGAACCCCCCAACCAATTGGCCCCTACTGTGATGCAAGATGGAAACAGAGCGGCAATTTTGTTATCACAAGATAAAGGAGAGTGGTCCAGTAAACTGGTTGTTGAAGTTGATAAATCAGGGAGAAGCTAGGAGGAGGTTGCTGTATTGGTGACAACAAAATAGTTGAGGATGAAGACTATGTACTAACGCCTTTTGATGGGTGCAAAGCTCTGCTTGATCCTCTGGATAACAAGCCAGAAGTTAAGGCTGTATGTCTGCAAGATAAGTTGGGCTCGGTGAATATGTTCAGGTGGTCTCCTTCATCAAACTCGAAGGAGTTCTCAGTAATGGATGGAGTAAAAGTGCATGTGGTTGGTCCACCCTTCCATCTTTGGAAGGCTGAAGTAGCAGAAGCCATCATAGCACTGTGTGGAGCAAAGCTGGCTGGTGTCTTCTGGGGAGACCTCAGGTCTGTAGCAATCCTACTGAATGGGGTCAAGCCTGAGGAGATTCCCAGGAAAGTGAACCTGAGAGTCAAAGGTGCTTTCATGGCGGTTTGGTTGACTTCCTCCATTGAAGCTGAAATGTGGAGGGATGCTCGAAGGGAGGAAGATGGTAAGGTTGAAGAAGAAACCTTACGTGGAAGCAAGGGGTTGGCAAACCTGCAAGGAAGAGAAAATTACACAGAAAAGGCCAAACAAGCTTTTGGGAATTCAAAAGCCTTGCCGAAGTTGGAAAGTCACAGACATAAGGCTTTAGCTGGGTTTCTGACAGACCATTTGCACAAGCTGCCATAGATGGCATTAAAACTAGTTCCTTAAACACACTTGTTCGACTGGGAAAAGGTTATAAGGGGGCTGCAAATTCTTTTGAATTGAAGTCAAAAGACAAGTGGGAAGCTGAAACGTTGGGTCATTTAAAATTACTTAGGGCCCAACCTCTATCCAATCCGAGCCAGGTAAAAGTGAGTGGGCCTTCTCAAATAGGTGGGCCCAGGCCAACTAATAGAAGATGGGACAAAACATTTAGTGGGCCGAACACTATGGGCTCATCTAATGTGGGACAAAGGGAGCTAAATGCAAAAATAACTAATGGGCCGAATGTTACCAGCCCATCGAAGGGACCCAAGGGCTTCTTAAAAGGTCACGTGACCAGGCAGATGGCGTCAATAGATGGTAAACACCATCTATCATCTTCTTCGTTGAGCTCAACAGGCCGTAAGTCACGAAGAGCGACCTCAGCCATTGCTGGAACCTCTTTACAATGGGTTGTGTCAGAGAGAGCCACCAGGAGATCACCGGAAAAACGCAAGCCGAGGTGCATCAGGCGGAGTGAATCAAAGGACAATTCCAGCGATACTGATTCAGACGATACAGTCTATTTAGGGAGCATGGACCTGAATAGTTCGAGCAATGTCTTTGATGAAGAGAGCTTGGGTACAGAGGTGCTGTTTCAAGGGAACAAGCAAGAAGATGACTCACAAATAGGTGAGGAAGATGGCGTGAACTTTCTGGTTCGGCCGGCAAAGGATGTGGTTCAAGTATAGCCTGCATTCGCAAGGGAGGTCAATCCAATAGTACAGGAAGAACAGGATATGAGGTCGGCAGGGAAAAATTCTAACACCTCGAACTGTAATGGGATACCAGAAGAAGGGCAGCACAGGAAGAATAGTTCTACTGTTAAAGTAGACAGGGTATTGAATCCAACTGTAGACTCCCTAAGGCAAGCTCAATCACAGGGAACAGTTTTAGGCCAACCTCCTTATGCGAGTCCCCCTCCCTTGTTTGCTGATCCTTCGGTCCCCAACAACAAAGGTATGGTTGTCCATTCTGTTTTGGTTACTTATGTGCCTTCTGTGCTTGAAACAGATATTCCTACATCCCAAGCAGAAGTTCCAGTTAGGGGGAAGAGAAGAGGGAATAACAACTTTGAGAGTGAACTGAGAGAGGGAGAAAGGACACCTAGAGAGAGACAGGAGGAGGAATTAGAGAGAATTTGGGAAATGATCTGCGCTTTGTTGGAGGTATATAAGGAGAAGGAGGAGGAATTAGATCAAAGGGATAGAGCAGAAAATTCTCAAGAGAAGGAATACTACAGAAGCTCCAACTTGGGGGGAGAGGTGGCTCAAGCTAATGCATTATCTAGGAAGAATGAGGGGAATAATAAAAGGAAAATGAAAAAAAAAAAAAAGATCAGAAGTGGAAAGGTTAATCTCAGATATTGAGGGTGATATTGAATTCAATGGGAGAGGGGAGAGAAGAAAGACTCTACTGTAAGGTGGAGTCTCTTGGGAAGGGTGTCTAAAAGGAGTGTTCAATGAAGATCATCAACTGGAATGTGAGAGGATTGGGAAGTGAAAGAAAGAGAAGGGCAATTAAAGACTTACTAAGAAGAGAGAAACCGGATATAGTGTTGATACAAGAAACCAAATTGGCAGAATTGGATAGAAGGTGGGTCAAAAGTGTGTGGAAATCAAGAGGAGTTTGTTGGACTTCGGCTCCTTCTTGGGGAGCCTCTGGAGGTTTAGTAAAATTATGGAGGGAAGATGTTGTAGAATAATGAAGGAGCTAATAGGGAGATATTTTGTGTCCTTAAAGGTGAGGAATGTGGGGGATGGCTTTACCTGGGTTCTAACCAATGTCTATGGGCCCAATACATATAGAGAAAGGAATGAGATGTGGGAAGAATTGTATGGAATTCGAGGTTTATGGGAGGGCCCTTGGTGTCATGGGGGGGGGGGGAGTTTCAATGTAATTAGGTTTTATAATGAATCAAACAACCCCCAAAGAACAGTCACAACCAGTATGAGAAAGTTTAATGAATTCATTAATATTTGTGGGTTAAAGGAGTTACCCCTCTCACAAGCCAATTTTACTTGGTCTAATTTCCAAGAAAACCCTCTTTGTTCGAAATTAGGCAGATTCCTCTTTAATGAAGAGTGGGAGAACCATTGGAGGAACCTGATGGCTAGAGCCTTACCCAGAGTTGATCACTGCCCTATCCAGTTAAGTCCTAAAACACTAGCCTTTGGTCCATGGCTGTTTAGATTTGAGAATATGTGGTTGACTCACCAGGATTTTGTTCACCTGATTGGGGAGTGGTGGTGAGAAGAGGTAAGAGGGGTGAAGTGGAAGGGAATGAGATTCCACAAAAAGCTAAAAAGGTTGAAATCCAAAACCAAGGAATGGAACAGGGAACACTTTGGGAGGATAGAAGAGCAAAAAAGTAATTTGCTGTCTAGGATTGAGGAATTAGATTCCAAAGAAGCCCAAAGGATAATGAGTGAACAAGAAAGGACTTTGAGAAGAAATTTAAATAAGGATTTGGAAGAGGTTCACCTGAGAGAGGAAATTTTGTGGAGGCAAAAGTCAAGACATAGATGGATCAAGGAAGGGAATGGAAATACAAATTCTTCCATGCATTGGCTAATGGGAGGAGAAGGAAAATTTTTGTGGCCAAGTTAGAGGTAAATGGGGAGGAAGTCACAAATCAAGATGAGATAGCAAGAATGTTTGTGGATCACTTCAAATCAATCTATAGAAAACCATTGAATAATAGGCTAATATTGGATGATTTGGAGTGGAATAAGTTATCTGACGAACAAGTAAATTGGTTAGAGAGGGATTTCAGTGAAGAAGAGATCAGACAGGCGATATTCTCAATGGATAGATCCAAAGCACCTAGCCCAGATGGCTGCATAATGGCTTTTAATCAGAACTGTTGGGATGTGGTAAAAGAAGATCTTATTGGGGTGTTTCAGGAGTTTGTAGACAAAAAAAGGGTAAGCCCTGGAGTGAATGCCACTTTCTTAGCCCTAATCCCAAAAAAGATAGATGCAAAGGACCCTAAGGAGTACAGGCCGATTAGTCTGGTTACAAGCATCTATAAAATTCTGGCTAAAGTGTTGTCATTAAGAATTTGAGTAGTACTACCCTCCATCATTAGTCAAGCACAAGGTACTTTCGTGTAGGGAAGGCAAATAACATATCAGATCCTAATAGCAAATGAGTGTGTGGACATGAGAAAGTCGGGGAATCAAGGTTTTGTATGTAAGTTAGACTTAGAGAAGGCTTATGATCTTGTGGATTGAAGCTTTTTACTAGAGGTCCTTGGGTGTTGTGGTTTTGGAGATAAATGATGCAACTGAGTAAAGAGTTGTATTAGCTCCTGTCATTATATAGACTTGGTGAATGGGGTGGTCAAAGATTTTTTCCCTGCTTGTAGAGGCCTCAGACAAGGTGACCCACTCTCCCCATTTCTTTTCACCTTAGTTGCAGATGTCTTCAGTAGATTAATCTCTAAGGCAAATAGGGAAGAGAAAGTGAGTGGCTGGAAGATAGGAAGGAACAATATTAGGGTAACCCACCTACAATTTTCTGATGATATCATAATATTCTGTGAAGGGGGTGACAGGCAAAACGTGAGGAATCTCATAGCATTAATATAACACTTTGAGGAGGTATCAAATTTGAGAATAAACCTGGAAAAGAGTTGTATGGTAGGTGTTAACATGAATGAGGGGATTATCCAGTCTGTGGCTGATTGTTTAGGTTGTTCCGTCGCTACTTGGCCTTTGTAGTACTTAGGTCTCCCTCTAGGGGCTAACCCAAAAGAGTGTAGTTTCTGGACCTCAATGTTGGAAAAGTTTGAGAAAAGATTAACTTTTTGGAAAAAGAACTATATCTCTATAGGGGGTAGAGTGACTTTATTGAGAGCTACCCTAGCGAACCTACCAGTCTATTTTCTCTCCGTTTTCAGGATTCCTAATAGGGAAGCTAAGAAGTTGGAGAGATTAATGAGAAATTTCCTTTGGGAGCCAAAGGGAGGAAAAGAAAGACCACCTAATTAACTGGGAAATAGTTTGTAGAAGTAAAGAGGAAAGTGGTTTGGGACTAGGAAGGTTAACTCTCAAGAATAAAACTCTCTTAGGAAAGTGGTTGTGGAGATGGCCTAGAGAAAGGGAGAGGTTGTGGCACGAAGTGATAGCTAGCATACATGGTAGACTGGAAAATGGATGGGATGCGGGTGTATCACGTCAAGCTACATTGGCTTCCCCGTGGAAAGCAATCCAGAGTATCCTCCCTCAATTTCTCAACTTTGTCGGGTATGATGTCAATTCTGGTACCTCTGTTTTATTTTGGGAAGACATTTGGGTGGGTAATGTTGCCCTTAAGAACCAATTTCCGTCTCTCTATTCTATTTCCCTTTACAAGGAAAAAGTTGTCTCTCATTTTCTCCCTTCTCCTATTTCACCCCCCTCCTTAAGTTGGGACTTTGGCTTTCGGAGAGGATTGAGGGATGATGAACTTAACAATGTTTCAAATCTGTTGTCCCTTCTTGGCCGTGTCTTTTTGGACCCCCTTAATTTGGATGTGAGATTATGGTCCCCTCACCCAAAGGTTACTTCACCTATGCTTCCTTTTTTAAATCCCTTTGCTCTTCCCAGGGACAGTGGGGCTTTCCAACCAAGGAGATTTGGCCTATACCAGTTCCACCTAAAGTTATTATTTTCTGCTGGGAGGTGTTTTATATAAAGATTAATACCTTGGACTGCTTGTAGAGGAAAAGGCCTTCTTTGTGTTTGTCCCCTAACTGGTGTGTACTTTGCAAGGCTAGTGGTGAGGATTGTTCTCACTTACTTGTATCTTGTTCCTTTTCTAGTGCTATTTGGAGTTGGATTTTCTCTTTGTTTGGGTGCAGGTGGAATTTGTCCACAGATTTAAGTCAGTTGTTCGATCCTTCCTTTTTTGTGTGGCCTACAAAAAAGGAAAAATAATGTGGAGATGTATTAGAGCAACCGCCTTGTGGACAATCTGGGAAGAAAGGAATGCAAGGGTTTTTAAGGAGGAGGAAAGAAGCTCTCAAGCTGTTGAGGAATGTATCTTAACTAGGGTCATCCATTGGTTAAGAACTAGGGACTTATTTCACACATTCTCCTTTGATGATTTTTGGAGAAATTGGTTAGTGGTGGCTAACGCCCATGCAAGGAAGGACAGGAAATCTGTAGTGTGGATGCCTCCACCTGAAGGATGGGTAAAGCTGAATTTTGATGGAAGTAGCCAAGGAAACCCAAGCCCATCGGGGATAGGAGGGGTGCTGAGAGATAATGAAAGCAAAATATTAGCATTGTTTTCAAGCCCCATGGGAATAGGAGACTCCAATAGAGCTGAGATGTTAGCGGCGGTACAAGGTATTCAGATTGCAGAACAATTAGGAGTTCAGCACTTGGTAGTCGAAGGGGACTCTGAGATTGTTGTGGGATGGCTCAAAAAACCAGCTTCAGCTATGTGGCGACATAGAGATATGTTAAGGAAAGTCAACTGGATCACAAGAAACATGAATGTTACCTTTCTTTGGGTGGGAAGATCAGCAAATTCCTTAGCGGATGGGTTAGCTAAGCAAGGGGCTTCAAGGGAACATTTATTTTGGGCTGCTTTGTAATTCTAGTTCTGGTTAATTCTGGTCAATTCTGTTTTATTTTGATGTAATACTTGTTAGAAGAGGTAACAACCCATGCCTCCTCTTGGGTCTACTGTATTGTCTCATATTTTTTATTTAATAAATTATACTCATTCATCAAAAAAAATATGGCTATGGTACCTAGGGAACTACCCTAGGATCTATGTTTTCTATATAAAAAAATCCATCGCCTAGGCGACGCCCTAGGCACCCCCCTAATGCCTAGCCTCGCCTTGGTGCCTTGAAGACTATGATGTCAGAGTAACTCTTTTTTTATCAATACTACCCTTCAGTAGTATCCCATGACACCATAAAGATTAGAAAGACAAGCATGGCACAGTGCAATCTACTAACAGTTAACAATGTCTATCTAATGACTAAATCTAGTGATCTAGAACATGGATATGAAAGTTAACAATAAATTTCTACTTACCTTAATGTATTTCCTTAAGAGGCTTGGAAATGCAGCCAAAAACATCGCTGAATATCTGAGACGTCGCAAGGTGAATGAGATCATCTCTGTGTCTGTCATTTGGTTTAAGATGTGGAGGGCATTTCCAAGATATGACTTTACTAAATGGCCATGATTCTTCCACTCTTTTGTAGTCATCAAATTTATTATGGTTTCTTTCTTTCCTCCCAAAGCGGGTATTTTCAGCAATCCTCGAAGAATCCCATCCATTTCATTTAAAACAAACAGCATTATCTTATTGAATACACTACTAGACATAATGCTAAACTTTGACAATGAATCATCTTTGTCATCATCACCATAATGGCAAGCAGTCTTAAAAGCACGCATAAGAGAACGAACCGCTCCTAATTTGGCATTTTTCTGAATAGAATTACACCAAGAATCAACCATTTCGGTTGTAATAACATTTTTTGATGGTTGTTGTACCATCTTCGCAACACTGGCATCACGTTCACTGTCATCCACATCTTCTTGCACTCCATCATCATCCACATCAGTTTCAGCATCTTCCTGCACATAAATTGCAATGAACAGAGAAGAAATAAGGTTGCTGCCCCATACATTAAAATGCAATGAGAAGTTGATCATAGCAACTCATGTATGCACTCACATTAATGTCTTCATCATTGAACTCTAGAAGCTCCTTATCATGTTCTTTCAAGAACTGATAGAATTCTGGATCCTGTATAGAAGAAATCCAAAAATCAGCAACATAGAATGTGAATAAAACTTGAAGAAATTAAAACCCAATATCAGATAGCTTCAATTATTCCATTCATAGGTAATGCACATTCAAGCTCTAAATCCAAGGAAAAAGAAAAAGAAAAAGAAAAAGCAGGGGACCAAGTTACCCTTGGACTCATCAACGGTGCATCCATGTGAGACTCTAAGGGAGAAGGGCCACCCGAAGGAGGGGGCAACCAACACACACCATTCTTGTGACAGTCTGAGGGCAATAACTGTTCCCGCCTCAAGAGCTCTCTTTTCCCACCTCTCCTCTCAGATCCCCCTTCTCTACTTACTTTGACCACCCATTTGGGGCCATTGGACCATCGTTCTGGCAGAGACCCTCATAGTTCCAATCCTCAACCCCTTATAGGTTAGTACGTATTTTATTTAAATTTGAACATTGATAGGATTTGTATCTTTTATATTTGAATGCAGGCAATCTGGCCAGATTGGATGCAATATTTAGTTAAACCATATGGCATACCACCCTTTAACGTTCATAATTTCATTGTGGAGAATATACCCCTAAAGCAGGCTTATCTTCTTCCTTTGCCCCTCTTATACCTAGTAACACTTGCAACAAACCCAATAGCACCAGCTAAGGATAAAAACCCAGAAATAGTTTAACATCCCCAAATATCAATTACATACCATTCCCAGCTCCAAATCAGATAGTACTCAAAATCTACCGAAAATTAAACTTGAGAGTTAATCCTAAAGGCACTAGAAAACAAACCAGTCAACAGCTCAATTGAGTTCTTGTCTTTCTCCCCTCACTATTAGATAATCTGGCAGAACCATTCTTCTAAAACCAAATGAAAAACGAAAGAATTTTCCATATCCTCATCTAAGCTCAAAATTAATACAACAAAGAACAATAACATTCTTTTTCTAATCAATGCATTCGCATTAAAACAAAAAATAAATAAAGTAAGCAATGAAAAAGGGTACCTTCTCTTGAAGTCTTAGTAATTGGTTCATATGTTCTCTTGCTTTTGATTTTCGAGTAGATTTCGGCATAGCACTTTTTCTGTTTTCCCCCTCTGCCACCTCTTCCAACTCTCCCCCATCATCGTTATTCTTCCTACCTGCAGCCATCAACCAATCAATGAAAAACAAATCAAACTCGGAGAAGAACCTCGAAACTTCATTGAAGCAGGAGATGAGATTTATAGAAGAATAATAAGAGAAAAATCAAAAACATACGTCCAATGCCCATGATGTCGCAGAACAAGCAACTCTGAGGGTTGTGGGTTTAGGGTTTAGAGTAAGCGTAGCCACAGCCGCGTTTGAAACTATTCTGAAATTTGAAGTTGACAAGTAAAAATTAGGGAGAATGGCGATTCAGCCCTGACTCAGAATTTTTAGGCCCAATGTAGATTTGGAGTAAGTGCCAGTTCGAAATTGATGCAAATTGACGGGCTTGCATGTGTATAGAGTGGGGGTATTTGATATCTTAATTGTTTATAGCTCTGCAGTGGGATTGAGAAATTTTTAATGCACCTGTCTATAATATCTAAAATCTGAAAATCAACATGACGCTCTTTTATTTCTTAGAGGTTGTTTGTATTGGTCTTCTACATCTTAAATTGTTTGATTTTATTATTTTACCCCTTTCGTAATTTTGAATTCAATTAGCACTATTTCATATATTGTCAAACAATAAATAATATTAAATGAATTAAAATGTTTAAAATAAAAGTATATAATAAAATATGATAAAGAATTTAATAATTGATAAATTCCATAATATAATGAAAAAAATTAATAATTACAAATAATAATAATAAATAATTAATAAATTATAAAATACTAAAATAATATTGAAAATATTAATAAATTTTACAATTAAGTGAAAACTTAAAATAATATCTTAAAAATTTAATAAAATATTCATTAATTAGTAAAAGTAAAAAATATTACAAAATAAAATTAAACATTAAACATTAAAATAATATTAAAATACAAATAAATTCCATGACATAATGAAAAAAATATTTAAGTTTGTTAGCAAAAGCCAAAGAGTAATTTGCTCTTTTCTCACCCCATCTATATATATAAAAGAAATAGAAAAGAGGGGAGGGGAGGTGCCTATGAGTGTGGTGGTTAAGTTACGTACAAGGGTCTCCTTGAAGGACAAAGGAAAGCCAATAGCAGGAGGTATGCTAAAGGCTAAGGCGAATGGAGTGATAGAATGATGATTTCGTTATGAGTTGGACCCCTATTTATAGGGAGAGATATCGAGGTCTGGAAAATGAATGAGCTAAAAGTGTTTGATTCTCATTAGGGAAGGGAATATTGGATTTGGTTTCAGTTGCCAGGGAACACTGTTAGGGTTTCGCAATGTGTCTTATGAGATATCTCAGGAACAAGGTTTCCTTTCGTCTGAGAATTCTCATAATACACGTGTGCTACTTTCTTTCGCAAGCCTCTTAGACTAACGTGGTATTGATGATGTCAATACTTATCTCACGTGTCCTTTCTAATCCTACTAGACGTTCTATCACACACGTTATTAGTGAAGACTGCCCTCGATGTGTGCCTTTGAGTCTGTTGCGGGCCCGTGGCAACCTTGAGCCCATCACAAGCTCGCTTTAGCCTTTGAGTTCATCACAAGCTCATGTGGGCTCAGAACTCATTGTGGGTTGGTGTCAAGTCCTAGACTCGTCATGATTGCCTTTGTGGCACTGGTTTAGCACCCTCATGCTATTACTGATTGTGGTGATCAACATATACCTACATTGTCCTCTCACCATAAAGTTCACATGTGCCTTTTCAATATGTGCATATTTATTTTTAAATGACATAATTAAAACCCTTATGGGTCTTCATTGTCTTTCATAAAATCCATATTTCCTTTTCTAATAACAACATTTTCTCTCTCTCTCTCTCTCATGCAAACACACACACCCTTAATAGTCAATGTTTGTAACATCTCCCCTCCTCATTTTTTTTTTCTCTTAAATCTCTTTTAGTCCCTTTTGGATCTATCCAATAAAGTAGATGGTTTTAATTAGATGGATTGGATTAGGTTAAGGGCCAACCTAAGTATGAATCCTAGCTTTGACCCAAACTAATGTCAAAACCCAAATTTGCCCACTAATACATGGGGTGAACCAATTTTCTTCTTATATAAAAGTATAAAGAAACCATTTCTCCTTTCCATGGGTTATTAGGTTTTTCTCTATTATTTTATTAATTTAATGTAGATTTGTTTCATGGATTCTTCAGGTTCAACAATAAAAATCATTTAACATGAGCCTTTGGTTATCTTTATTAGTTCAATTTTGAAATTGTTTTTTAACGTAGTTATTGATTTCATGTTAATGACATTTTTTGGCTATATAAAAAGGAATAAGTTTGAAGCTCAATAACTAAAAGGGAAAAAAATATTTTTTCTACTATTTTATATTGAAAAAACTAGAAATGTAAAAACTTTAGTGTACTATTATTACTTTATTTTTTCCCTTAATAATACATTTTTAAAAAGCAGCCTATGCATCGAATGGGTTACCGCTAGTTCTTCAATGAACAGCCAAAGATCACTGCAAATTAAGCACGACTAGACATTAATGCATGGTCAAAGATCATGGTACTACTAGTCATGGTTGGCCATTGGGTCACAATTTATAATTGTTGACATGCCACTTACAAAGCCAGGGGCAAGGATACATGATCAATGATCCTATATGTGCTTTGTATTTTAATGCCATCAACTCCTTTAAATAGCATCAAATAGTTTTGCCAATAAAATTAAATAACATCAAATAGATGGGGCAATAAAGTTGAAACAACTATACATGGCTCCTCTATAAAAAGAAAGCAAGGGGTAAAAAATAAATAAAAGTGTGGCAACTTAAATTTGCATAGGAATCAACATTACTAGGGCTTAGCCATTGTGAGCGTCAGAAAATAGCTCACTTGGGCTGATTTGGAGTTGCCATCCACCAGTTATGTGCAATGGAGGGGCCTTCAAGAATGGTATCAACAAAATCATTTTTATTTGTAGTGGCTCCAAGACCCAAGGCATTGACTACAAGTCTACACCAGTCTTGATAAGACTCAGATGAGAGAGGGAAGGGGTTAGGCACCCCCTTTCCTAGGTCCAGTAGGTGGGGCCCACATAATGATCTCAAAAGATACACAAAATTTATTTAAGCAATCAAGAAAATAACAGGGAAAGCAAAGAATAAGAGCAAATCAACAAATCGATCCTACCAATTATTATTATTATTATTATTATTATTATTATTATTATTACTATTACTATTATTTGTTATGTATTTTTATCAATTCTTTTTATTTATCCCCTTTTTGTTATTCTTGTTACCCTTTTTAATTTAATTTATTTATTTTTCTCTTTTTTGTTTAATTTTCCTAATTATTTATTTTTTTAGTTCCTTACGGAATCCTATTTGTGTATTTATTCATTAATTACTCACTAATGTTAGCATGCTTGTTTTAAGCAAATCAGTAACCAACAAAACAACATGAAACATGAACACCATAGCCGTGTCGATCCTTAAACAAGACAGACATAATGCAAATTATCCTAACAAGATGATTGACAGGTAGAATAATCCACTTAGCTTCAAGACTGAACAACCTTCCATTTGAACAAATCAAAGAATAGGAACAACAAGAATGACAAAATGGACGGACAACAATATACTAGAATTAACAGAGGAAATAAACGATAATAAGAAAAAGAAAGACAAAATGGGTTCGACCTCTAGATCTCTAATAGACGTTCTCCTTTTAAACATGAAATAAACAAAGATTGAAACAACGGTAAAAGCCACAATAAGATTAAACAGGTACCAGAGGTTTCATAGGAGTTGGTTCAGCGACAATGGCCTCATTACCGATTCCAATGAACTCCCCTCAGATCTCATCACTCCATGGCCATAGGCAAGGAGAAGATATAAAGCAAAGAGGAATAAATCAGAAAAAGGAAAGCAATGTGTATGAGGATTTACCTTGTTCAATTTTTGATATACAATAACCGGTAATATAGAAGACCTTCAGTCCCTAGTAGGTTATCCTCAAGCGAGATCGATAACTTAAAATCAGTCATGGGGAATTTGTTGAAGGAAGGAGATCTTTCAAACTCGAGTCTCATTAAGAATAGGGGTTAGGCATATGTTAGAGTCAACGAGAGCAAATGAGGTGCACCACTGCTACAACTCTTCCATTCTTGTGGGAGAGGATGATAAATAAAGAACCAATGATGAGAGAGGAAGGTTGAAGGGAGGAAGGGGTAGAGGGAGAGATGAATAACGTAATGGAACAAAGAGAAATTGAAGAAAAGGGAATTCTTTGTCTCAAGGTGGAAGAAGATGAACAGTAAACTTTCGCTCCTTAAGTTAAATTGAAAATCAGGTTAGGCATTTATAAGGAATTAAGTGTAATTTGGCAAGTTTAAGGAGTTATAAGGGTTTAGTAATTTTAAAAATTTAGGGGTATTTTGGTCATTTTGGGTCTAATGAGGGTTATACTGAGGTATGGGTGGATAGATGAGATTTTGGCTCAAATACCAAAGAGGTGAGATGGGTCTAAGTGCACACAGTGGTTTTGCATGTATGGGTTAATGAAATTAGCTAAAATGGAATCTTTTTGAATGAATGGGTAAACATGGATATTTTTGGCTGATTTTTGGCAAGGTGGGGTTTTGAGCATTCTCGGTTGAATGGTGGGATCAAATTGGCCCAAATGGACCCAAATTAGGCATATCTGGAGGAAGGTTGATTCGAGTTATTTAGAGCTTCGAAATAGAATATTTGTATAATGAAGGGGGAAATAATGGTATTTTTTTTTGTTGAAATTTGGTAAGGAGGGGGTTTTCAACATTCAAGGTTGATTGATAGGGTTAGATTGGCCTAACTGAACCCAGATTAGGCAGATCTGGGAATGACTTAATTTGATTAATTTGAAGCTTTGAAAAGAAATCTTGGTGTGATGAAGGGGCAAACAAATATATTTTTGGTTGAAAATTCACAAGTGAGTATTTTAGGGTGTCCAAGGTCTAAGGGTAGTGTCTGATTGGTTCAGGGGGGTCAAGATTGTGGAAATTGGGTCAACGAGAGGATCTGAAATGGAATCTTGGTTTGACGGATGGGTAAATGGGGGAAATTTGGGTTGAAATTTTATGGATATGTAGTTTAGAAGCTCCAAGGTCTGGTGGTGGTGTCTGATCTAAAGTTCAAGTTGTAAATGGGAGTTAATCAGGGCCATTGGATTGGTACCAAGCATATTTAATGGTGGATTTAGGGGTTTTTTAAGCTGAAAGTTGGGTTCTTTAGGCTTTTTAGCATTTTTGAGGGATCAGAAGGGTCTGATCGGGTGGTTGGGGTGAATTTACGTTTTTGGTGGTGCATCGAGCAAAAATCAAGTGCTAACAACCATCAAAAGCCAAGAAACACTCTATATTATCTCTTGACACTCACAAAACAGGTGCTATAATG